GGGCATACTGATAGATAATTTTCACTTTAATTAATAAACACTTAACAGCACAAATATTGTAGCATGAGGATACACTATTGATATTTTACCATGATAACAATAAATATTTTAACCATGCAGAAAAAATTTACGTAACGATACACACACAAATAAGACAGGGTCAGCAATTACACACACACAAATAATATTTACCGAAATGCATTTGAAAAGAAACCCTATTTGAGAAAAAAAAATGATGCGTTCATTTTGTATTGCGCACACACAAAATCACCACTTCACACTGCTAAGGCACTTTCGAAGGAAAAAAGGAAATCACTCCTGTAGCACATGGGAAAAAAATTCACTACTTTCGAACACTGAGGGAAGAATTTTGCCGTAGCACGTTGCAGAAAAATTACTGATGTAGCACATTTAGCGAAAATCACTATTGTATCACATTTGTCACAAAAGTTGAATGATCGAAGAATTATTGCACGACTGGCGAAGTCAGCGGAACGGAACAGATCACATTGATGATTTGCTGCTGAAGCTCCTTGCGATGATATGCACGACTTTGAAAAAAACACAAGCAATATATATCAATACTTCTAGAAATAATTGAAGGGGTACGTTGTAGCATACGTTTAATGTCCATATTCGTTGTTATTTTTAGTCAGTTCTTCAGAATGCCTTGGATGCACGTGGCTTAGGGTCGTTGAAAATCCATTGTCAGTAGCGTGCTCAGTCAAAAGGTCACCACTTTTGGTGGTCGTGTGCTTAATGCATGATATAATTAAAGAAAATAAGAGTAGACAATCTCCTATAACAAAAGAATATATTAAGTACTAAATTACAATTTAAATTACATTGCAGAGATCAACGCAGAGCTCGGAACACAGTTCATGCTACCTTCGCGTACAGTTGTCTGACGAGAAGTCTGAGTGAGTAATGACGTCGCTTTGCTGCTCCGATTAAGAACTGGATTTTACACGTGGCGCCATCTCATGAATAGAAGTTGAAGTATCTGTCGGAACGCCACACACCGATACCGACACGTGTGTCGGCTGAGTCAAAGAAAGTCTATGTAAAGAAGGAAAGGCTCCATAGACGTAATGTGACCGTCGAACCTGTTCGAACTTTGACATCAGCTTCGAGCTTTGGCGCTTTTTGGCGACAGATATTTCACGCATGCGCAAAATAATTATGGCAGATGTAGAAAAAGTTATGTTTGTCTAGACCTTCATCCGAGCTAAAAATAGCATTCAGTATTGAAAGTTAATCTGAGTCCTTCACGTATAAGACGCAGGTAACTTTTTTGAGACTAAATTTAGGAACAAAAGTGCGTCTTATATGCCGCCAAATACTGTATCTTACACTTTACTGAATGGCAGCTCACTAATGCGTGGAGATACTAAGTATTCTATATGAGATAGTGGCAAAAGGTTGCTTTCAAATAGCCGAATTTGTGATTTAATACCATACTTTTTGCCGAATGACAACAGTTTTGCGACTTTTAAATCTCTGACTTTGCTAAGAACATAGGTAAATTTATTAAAATTATGAAATAAATCGAAAACAAAATTCGAAATTCAAAATTCGGGCTTCTACATGTGTTCGGGTGCAGCATCGCGTGCAAAAAAGTGCATCCGTACCTCTAGGTGCCGCCTTTTTCCACAACGGAAGGAATATAAATACATACATAGAAATGTTTCCTTATTAGCACCGGAGTATCGAAACTCACTATACGTATTACATTTATGTCCGAATCACTTTACAAATTGTTGCCGGGGGAAAGAGAAATAATAATAATAATAATAAAAAAATTCTGAAAACTTTCAGGTTTTATATTACTCTCAAAGGGGCGTTACGTTTATTTATTAAATATCACGTTATTCGTACTTACGCTACATAGAGTTAGATTCAACAGGAAAATCACAAAATATTTAAAAGCAGCATAGCTTTAGAATTTCCAATAGACAGTCTCGCGCGCTTGAGATAAAAATGTTTCATTCCAATATACTGTTGCCACTGCTGGCAATAAAATCCTCGAGTTTGTTAATCAAAAATTCTTTAATGTTTTACAAAATATGAAATAGATAATGAGGCCCGGTGGCGCAGCGGCTAGCGCATTGCGCAGCAGCACCACAGGTCCAGGGCTCGATTTCCGGGCTGTACAAGGTCGACTCAGACTTTCATCCCTTGATTTCTATCACTTCGGTCGATAAAATGAGTACCACGTTCGCTTGGGGACTAAACACTGTGGGTCCTGCGACCAAGCTGACCACTTGTTCAGGGCATATGCTTATGCACCCCGGGGCCCACGGTCAAGAAAGCAGATTTCGGGCACTGCAGGCCGTGACCCATTAGAGCTGTTACGCCACTGAGTTTGGTTTTTTTAAATAGATAATAAAACAAATTCCAAATTTGGGCTTCCAGGTGCTCATTGTTTGGTTCGATAATTACGTTATTCAAAATTTGATGGCTCTAGGTACCGTTGTTTTTTCACAATGCGAGAAACATACATACGTTCATGCAGATTCTTCATTATTTAATGTCTTTAAATATAATACAGGGATGTAATATTTGGTGGCAACAATTTAAAAAGTGGAACGTTGTTCATAGTGAAACAACGCAAGATGTGGAAACGAAATTAATAGGCATCCTGGACTAACGCCCTTTGGGCTAATAATGATTATCGGGTACGTATGTATACCTTTCTTCACATTGTGGAAAAAGGAGGGCATCTGGAGCCACTGAAGTTTTCATACAAATAATCCTTCATCCGAATATGGGCACGTCAAAGCCAGAATACTGAATTTCTGATTTGTTTTTGATTTAATTCACATTTTGGTTAACAAGCCATAATTTTGTCCTTTAATTTGACTTAATCCGTTACCACACATATGATGACTCACTCACACGTTACAAATGGGGAAATATTTCATTCTCACACGCCTTTACTAAGCTATAATTATCCTTTTTATCTGATAATTGTTAATACGAAGTTTTACAACTCGTTGTGAAATAATGAACATTGTGAAGTTAGTATCCACTTTCTATTATTATATACCGCATCCCCTAGTTTTTTTATTATTGATATAAAGGGGTAAAATAATAAAATTACCTACATAATGCATAACTTCATAAAAATCGAAAGATTATACAACAAATATGTAATATATGGCTATAGAAACACTGGGAATATTCTTAAAATTTTTGAGTTAAATTAAAAGTATTTTCATTAATGTCAGTCTGATTTATTATTTTAAATAAATTAAATAAATAAGTATAGTTATTAATAATATAATACGTACAAATATAAATATAACATAGGGAAAGGAATTAAGAAATATCTTAAATATTTTCTTACTCGTTGGTCACAGATAATATATTTAAAAAATATTTTACATGATTCAAATATTCATGCCTGGCGTTTTTAAATGTAAAAAACCAATTTTGTATACAATACCAAATCTAACTTGTTATGACGTCTTTACAGACCTAACGCTTAGAAAAATTTTATACTCACAATAAAAAAATAAAATACAAAAAGTTTGGCTTGCATTACTAAAACTAACCAAAGTATTTCACTTTATGTTTGGAAATTATATTGGGTCGCATAAAAAGTCTCCGCCCTTTTTTGCTACTAGATGGTACTGATCCCTATATATCCGGCAACGCTCACCCGATTGTCTCAAACGAACATAAGCTTAAAAGGTGACATTCAGCTTCCATTGTCTGTGAAGATAGTTCTCTAATTCGTTGCTCATATAAAAAGTTATATTGATTTCAAAATGAGTGAAATATCTGAAGAAATACGCTATGTGATGCTTTTGTTTACTATGAATTAGGTACAAACGCTGCAAAATCACGCCGGAAAATTTGTGAAGTATATGGTGAGAATGCTGTGAGTGAACGAAGGACCCAGGAGTGGTTTGCTCGATTCCGTTACAGAAATTTCAATGTCGAGATTGGAAGGGAATTGTCCATTATGAGCGGCTGCAACCTGATAAAACCATCAATTCGACCCTGTACTGTGCACAACTCGACACTTTGAACGAAGCAGTTCAGAAAGGGAGACCAGAATCAGCCAACAAAAAGGGAGTTGTGTTCCATCATGACAATGCACGGCTGCACACATTTTTGATGACTCGGAACAAATTTACGGAACTTGGTTTAAGAAACCGGCCGACAGAAGAGCCGCTGAAAATCACTTGGCCAAGTTTTTCGTCTATAAACCACAGCAGGTTTACACCGATGGAATTATGAAGCTAACCAAAAAATGGCAAAGGTCATAGATAATAATGGTCAATATGTACTAGTTGATTAAAACTGATATTCAATAAAGAAAATTTTTGTTCAAAAATATACCAAAAAAAAAAAAAAAAAAAAAAAAAACGCAGAGACTTTTTATATGACTCAATATTTGATGTCTGCACAAAAACTGAAGAGAAAAATTGTTTTATAGGTACGTAACTAAAAACACCAGCTTAGAAAAAAAACTGGGCTGTTACATATCGGATGCCAAATACGACGATCTTCACAACTGTGAAAACTAATGACTCTATTAAAACGGCTAATATTGCAAAAAAGGGCGAAATTAATACCCAAAGAAACATCAGAGACATTAGAGAATGTTGCGAAATTTCTTTCATTCTGGATAATACATAAAAGGCAGAGTATACATTCACCTGCTGTATTTGCGTTTTAGTATTAAACAATATTATAATGGTAAACAGTGAATTCTTTTTTGTTAAGAACAGATTAATTATTTTAACTTTATTTCTTATTGGAAAGCTTCGTTTGATATGCGTTCAGTTTGGTATAAATTCAAGGATGAGGACTGGATTAACGACGTATAATAAAATAATATATAATTAATAACGAAAAATAAGTAAGTAGAGGTAAATTAAAAAGTATGTATAACATTAATAAAATACAAGCAAATACACCCAAAACAAAAACAAACATTAAAATAAATTTACGAAACTATTATAAATTATAATAGTGGATAAACTCACCTGTAATAGTTCGAAGGTTGCCAACAGTTCTCCAGCTTGTTCTGAACCTCGGTAGATATCGTACCATTCTAGAGTGGGCGGGAAATTGGGCTTGCAATAGGGTTCATCGGAGAATTTCACATGGGGCCGGGCTATTGTGCGTCCAATAAATTCCGATTTTCCCTGAAGAGAAAAAATAGGTTAATTAACAAAAAAATGGAAATAAAAAAATATATTAAAAAAATAATATCTGAAAGGTTTCTGATTTTAAAGGTCGCCCAAAAGGATTTGTTAAGGTTTTCTTGGCTTCGCTGAACTCGCAATCCATCAGTCTGCTGTTACATTCCCTCCTACTAACCCATTTTCTCGGCCTTATGGTTTTATTATTAAGCATAATTTTCTTTGCACTTACGCTATGTGCAATTCAACAGCAAAATTACAAAAATTTGAAAAGCAGCATGGCAGTATACGTTAAGAGTTCTCAATGAAGCATTGAGTATTGGCCAATATTTTTCTGTTTTTTTTGCCAGTCTTTTCTCAGTTTATCAAATCAATGTTCTTCAGTTTTCTTACTAAGATGGCTTTACAAAGCTTTTGTCTTCATCGTATTAGCGTTTATGTGTTTAATTTATTTATTAAATATCACGTCGTTCTTACGCTTACGCCACGTGAAATTCAATTCCTTAGCAAAATCACAAAATAGTTAATAACAGCATATCTGCAGAATTTCCGGCAGACTTTCTCTGGAGCTGGAGTTAAAAATGTTTAATTCCGTACAGTTTTGCCATTGCTCGCTTTGAAATCTTTGAATTTGTTAATTAAAAATTCATTAAAGTTTTACAAAATATGAAGTAGCCATTGAAACACATTCGAAATTTCATATTCGAGCGTCCAAATGCCCATATTCGGGTATAGGACTAAGTTATTTAAAAGACTTGTGATATTTCTTCAATAGTTGCTACAGCTGCTAAACTTTAAAACTTAATTTCTATGCTTCCTAAAATAAAAAAACGTTATAGGCACAGAAGAAGAAGTTGTGTTAAAAGAAAAAATTATTATTATTCCCTATAAGTGCATTATTATTATATTTTTTAAATATTTGTTTAACTGTTTCTCTTAAGATAGATAATGATTACACTCGATGTCAAGCCATATGGACGTAAATTCGCAGGGAATCTGAAATACTAAAATCTGAAGCCTTCTTCATTAAATCAATATCACATAAATAACAATCGATATCTTCCAACATTTTCAAATTTCAAATATCATACCCTTCTTAGGCTTCAGTACTATTTTTCAAGGTTTCTGTGCTACAAGGTTTACACCTGTCGACCAGAAACTTTTGAGCATGGACCTTATAAGAAATAGACTAACCCAAACGGGTTTTCTCCCTCATCTGAGGCGTTGCCGGTTGTCACCTTGATCCCATCCGGAGGAGTAGGGACGACTTGCAGAAATCTAACATTGGTTTACTATTGCAACGTGTATAATTGTCAAGAAAATTCTGGTTGTAGGGCCTCATTTCACAAATTAGAATTTCTACATATTTTTAATTTTGAAATTGAGATTGATTTTTAAAAATTTAGCATATTTATCAAGCATAATTAACATTCCAAATAATTATAAAGCTATTACATGCTTTCAGAGTTGGATATATTTTTAGCTTTTCCTATGCTGTAAGGAAATTTGTAACTACTTCTTTTAGAGAATAATATCTTAAATCTGAACTAATAGAAAATTTCAAACAAGCAATTTTCTCTTGCAATTTTTATGCTTTTTATTGGTGTGTGAATAAGTAAAAAGTACTAAAATATTTAAAAACGAATTTTTGAAGGTTTTGTTTAAAATTATAAATTCTGTTGCTTTTTTTAAATTATAGATGAGTATTATAGGACAATTTCTATAAAGGAATTTTATTTCAATTATATTTCATAATACATCGTGATAAACACTTTTCACTCCTTAAAAATGTTTATACATTTAATTCTAATATTAAAAAATGTATTTAACCGTTATAATTAATTTTGAAGTGATTTTTTTTTAAATTTATTTTTAGTTCTGGATAAGATTTTTTTTATTTACTGTTAATTTAATTTATTAGCCCAAAGCGGCGGTAGTCCTAGAAAGGCTGTTAGTTTCGAAGCGGCATTTTGCGCTGTTTTACTATAAATGTCCGTGTCTCCTTGCAAATTGTTGTTACCAAATATTATCGCCCTGTATTATATGTAAAGAAATTAAATAATGAAGAATCTGCATGAATACATGTATGTTTCTTGCACTGTGACAAAAACGACAGTATCTAGAACCATCAAATTTTGAATAATGTAATCCTCCACCCGAACATAGGCACCGGCCGAATTTCGAATTTGTTTTAATCTATTTCCTATTTTGTAAAACTTTAACGAATTTTTGATTAACAAATTCAACGAATTCAGAGCGAGCACTGTACGGAAATTTACAGTTTTATCTCCAGTGCGGAAATTCTAAAGATATGCTGTTTTCAAATGTATGTGGTTTACGGGCGAAGAACATGATATTCAATAAATATAGGTAACACACAAAACTTTAAAAAAAGATTCCTTTTGCACGTAATATAAAATCTGAGTGCTTCTAGATTTTATTTTATATTTATTTTCCCTTCATTACGCTCAGAAAATTTTATGCTCCGAATTTTATGAATTATTAAAATAACTAATCCACTTTAATGTTAATAACTTAATAATCATATAATCAAATAAATAGGATCGTTTTGTAATATTATTATACTTTGGAAAATCACTGCCTGAAAATGTTCATTAAATTAAAAAAAATTATCAAATCTTGTTTAATTTTACCTTATTTATTTCAAAGCATCACGTACTATCAATCTTATTTAATTTTACTTTATTTTTGCGCAAAATTAAATTCATAAATTTTGTGCTTAAAATTATGAACCGTTTTTACCGTTTTACCAAAGTAAAGATGTTTGTACAAGAATTACGCGTGAAATAAATGCGCGAAATGCAGTAAAAAGTGCTTTAATGAGATATATTAAATCCTATTTGGAAAAAACTGTGGCTTTCATAATCTCATCACTATACAATGTATCACATTTGATAATTAAAAAGAGTTATGTGATACAAACGCCATAGGTTTCAGTGTTAAAGTAAACCAGATCGTCCCTACTCTTTCTTGCCGACATGTCGGTGACACGCGCCCCGCTCACTGGGTTAGTCTATCTCTTATAAGGTCCATGCTTTTGAGTGTGTGACGTCACTGACTCATAGTCTGCTCGAAAACAGACTATAAAGAGAATTAAGTGTAATTGTATCTTTATCTTTACAGTTTCTATAAGCCACGCGGCGTCACTGAACAGAAGCATCGAAAACAGTATAACCTTATTTTCTACTGAGCTTGTTATTGTTACCAATTTTGTGCATAGATAAATGATTTTAGTGCAATCATCTGTGAAATTGTTGTATTTTGCTATGTAATGTAACATAAGAAATATCTAAAAGAGACAAGCTATTCCGGAAAAGTGAAAATACAGGGGCAAGTTCATTTACATTGCGTAAATGGGTATCTCGGTAATTAGGAGAGATATCGCCAAGCTGACAACGGTTTTGTGAAACTTATTTTTGTCGCAAATTTGGCGAGAAATCGCCAAAAGTCTCCAAACATGGCGACCATATGGAGTTATTTTGCTCCGGTCCCTGTATTACCGTTACAGGTACTGTGATTTAATAAATGTAATTGATAACTGTATTAATTGCAACCGTAATTCGACCCTCATGTTATTTTCCGGGAATTTCGAGAGGCAAAAAGTATTAGAAATATCTCCGAGGCCGGTTGAAAACCACATAAGGCCGAAGACAGCATCTGCTCTCAGTTGCTGTTATTATTGCGAGTTGTTAGTTCAGCGTGAGATCAGAAATAATTTCGGGTTAGCTTTCTGTTTAGATGCGCTTTCTGTTAGATTGATTGTGTTTAACGTTTTTAGTATTTTGAAGTGTAACTACTGTTTACTTTGTGTATTTCTGTGGAAACATCCAGAACTTTGAAGTGCTTCATTCGATAAAAAATAAATTTTATTAACTTATCATCGGACCTGTGTGAATTCAATCCATAACGAACCCGTACGCATGCAACATTACATTCTTCGATAGATGGTACTAGGCTCATTTGCGTTTTGCTCAACCTATTGATTTCCATACAAAATAGTTACTTCGCAAAATATATTTGAAAAACTTTTCTTGCTTTTGAGGGAAAAAACTTATATTTAATCGTCGCCGAAATCTATAAAATTTTATTCAAAATCTACACCGACCTAAGGTTGCTTTTTTTTGCTTAATTTTAAATTACAAGGTAACCCAAAAGTCCGTTAATATTTGGAAATTCAATAACTTAACTGGATAATGTAGGTACGGAGGTAAAATCTGACACACATGCTTGAAATATTATTGGGTTTTATTGAAAGCAAAACAAAAGTGCTGAAAACGGCAACAGATGGCGCGTCATATGATAACAATACAACAATTAGCATAACACTTGATTTTTAGAAAATATTATGTTCTTTATAACAAATGTTCAACATATTGACAGTCATTCATCAAAAATGCTTGTAGTTGAAGGACAATGATGTGAACAGAACTGTACAACATATCTGTAGGTATATTGAGAAATTGCCGTCGGATGTTGTGTTTACCAGCCGGACTACAAACTTACGTAAAAACTGATATGCAATTCTGTAACATATCAGTCTACCTCCCACCAGTCACACAGACAGTTTGAATAGCAGAACCACGCATTTTCTTCGAAGGAAAAGAGTCCGATCACGACTGATGGTGATAAATCCGAGTCACACCGTGACCAGCACTCGGAGGCGACGATAGTTAAGTGACTGACTAGTCATAGTCATGAAGAGACTGATTGTCTTTTTTACTACAGCTGATTTCATACGCGATTCTCATGTGACGTCACTGGATTTTGCTTCCTAGTGCCATATGTTGGTCTTTTTCTGCATTTTTTAAAAATTGTTTTGGTTTTTAGCTTTCCATTTAACTCCATGTCATTTTAAGCATGTGTGTTAATTTTTACCTCTCTACATATATTATTATTCCTTAAATTATTGAATTTTCATATGTTAACGGACGTTTGGATCACCGTATAGATTGAGAACAAAAATATTAAAATGGAGATAAAAC